GAGTATAAAAATTTATTTATAATTTATAAATTTTATTATGTTTTTACTAATTTGGATGTTAATGTGTTTTATAGTTATGTTTTCTATTTGATATTAAAATATTTTTACATTATCTCATATATTTAATAATAATAAAAATCAATTAATCTAACTAAACCACACCGATTCAATTTAAGTTAAATTAATTTGATTATCATATAATAATAAATTAAATTAAATTAAAAAATATTTAAATTTAAATCAAATCACACCGCTAACCCCTAGTTTTATGTATGTTTGACGATAAAATATTCATGTCTAGATTCATGTGTTATTTAGCACACTGAATACCTGGTTTGGAATCTTATCTCTCACATTCCTCTGTTGTTGTAGTCCATTGGTGATACTGCAGCCTAAAAAAACTACCAGTGAATTATACCTTAATTAGTGTTCGACTCTTGTTAAAAAGTAAAGTACTGACTTTAGAATCTCCATCTCTCTTTCCTCATCAGTCATCCCATTTACTGTTAATAAAAAATAAATATCGTTTCCATTGTGAATAAAATATCAATTATCGTAGAAATATTCCACTGATGAGCTGGATTTGTTTGTATTGCATTAATTAGTTTTCCTTTTCTTTCATGGTTAAATTCTTTACGGTAGGTTTATTAGATTTGTTTTATTATTTGGTGAAATTTTTTTTAAAATTTTAAGGTTAAATTTTTAATTTGATCTCTAAATTATTATATGGATCTTCGATTTAATCTTTAAACTAAAAAAATCTTTGATTTGATCCTTAAATTATTGTACGGACCCCAATTTAATCCTTATTATTTACCAATTTACCTCAAATTAGCCTTTTCATACAAAAAAAAGTTGACATGTCTAGTATTTAACGACAAAAATAATAACTTAACGGTAAAAAATAGTAACTTAACAGTCACGTGTTATGTTAATAATGAGACACGTCAACTGTTTTTGTATAAAAGGATCAACTTGAGGCAAATTGATAAATAGTAATGATCAAATCGGGGATCCGTACAATAGTTCAGTGACCAAATTAAGGATTTCTTTAATTCAGAGACCAAATCAGAAGTTCATACAATAATTCAGAAATCAAATTAAAAATTTAACCAAATTTCAATTTTATATAAATAAAAATGTTTTAAACAAGTTTATTGTGTACAATTTTCTCAAAAAAATTGTTCTATCTCGTCCTGCGCTCCCAACACAACCTTTAAATCTAATGATTTTTATTTTAAAAAAAAATTATGTAGCTTTTAATTTTTAAATAAAAATATTGTAGCATTGATAGAGTTGGGTTCAAAATATTAGTGGATGTGCTCATTTCATTACTAATTAAATAAAGTATAATTCTTGTAGGATGAATTGTATTATATTTTTTTATTTTTAAATTATTAAATCTCAAACTTTAAATATTTTTTATTTTAAATTTATTTTAAATTAATTGTTATTTTTTCACTTTTTAAGTTAAACAAATATTTTTTTTTCTATTTAAACCACAATGTTATTCATTTACTTTATGTAATCACTCTATTACAAAAAGTTTCTTTTTATCATTTATTTTTATTATAAGGTTAACATAGATAAATGTATAAATTGTCTCTAAATCTTTAATTTGAAAAAAAAAAGTAAAAAAATAAACTGTAATTTTGAAATAAAGGGAGTATATCCTAAATTCTAATAATATACACCTAGTTTAAAGAAACAAAATAGAGATAGAGAAGTTATCTCCCTCTTTCCTTCCCCATCCCCTACGCCTTCCCCTTCCCCTTCCTCTTTGCTAATTTCAAATCACACAGACCCTTACTCAGTGTCAAAATAACTGTTTGTTTTGTTAGTTTTAAGAAAGAGATGATAAAATTTTAATGATAATAAAGCAGATAATTAAATTTAAGGGATAATAATTGGGTTAAAATATAAAAAAAATATTTGTTTACCTTAAAAAATAAAAAGAAAATAGTTAACTTTTTTTTAGATAAAT